AATTTTACTTTAATATTTCAATATTTTTGAATTGAAAAAGGAGATATTATTTCATTCAGTGTTGATTTTATTGAATAAAACATATGAAATACTTGTACCGAATAACTCAATCTATTCAATTGGCATTTGCTAAAGGTGGGATCCACTATGTCTACCTTGAATCATTTGGGATAGCTAAAATTTTTATGTTTTGTAGGGCAATTGAATACCGAAAGGTAGGGGATCAAGCCCACATAAACTCATAGGGGACAAGGCTGCCCAAGCTAGGGTCAAGCCAACATTTCTCTCTGAATATATTTGTTTATTTTTTGGTAAACAATTGGTTTAATTTCTCTCTCTCTCTCTTTGTCTATCTAATAATTTTGTCCTGGAACCTTACATTGATTTTTATATCGTAATTGAATGTAGAGGTTTTTCCGTGGCATTTAAGCTAGAAGCTCTCAAAACTAGGGACCATTTTCCTCTAGGGTTGGTTCTGATAGCAAGAGCTCCCTTCTTGAAACTCTCCTCCAATCCAATGAGTATTGGTGGAATTTATATAGAAATTAAGGGATTAGAGGGAGAGGGGGAGAAAATTTGGACATTGATTGTTTGTTTAAAAACATCATAAAGCCTTAGTGACTTCTAGTAGCTACCTAATCTTATATGTTGGGTTTTGCCCAAATATACACAACTATCTTTAGCTATAAATATACACAACTCTCAAGCTTTTCTAATTTTCCAAGTATGGTGATATCTATTCCATTGCAACAATTCAGTTATTTCTTTTGATTTCCATTTATCTTAGGTCTCCTAGAAGGTAATGCCATGTTGTTTCTGTGTTCAATGTTTCTTGTCTATTTTATTTAAATATACTTTTCCCTTCTTGACCTGATTTGATCTTTTTCTTCTTTTGTAAGTGCCTTTATTTTGCTTTTTTTGTATGTATTGATTCAAAAATCTAATTTTTATTTTATTTTGTTTTCCAGGTTAAATGCATATGTAAGGAATAACAACATACATGAATGAAGAGACTTGAGAGCAATATTTTTCATTTTTATTTTGGTTTATTATATGTAACAAGATAGATTGTCATTTGTGATACATTTTTTACACTTTGATGTATGAAGATTACATTTTTATGTATTTTTAGTTTTTAATTAATATATTAAATTTTTGTAGAAATTTATTTGTAAACTTGATGTGAGGTGAAAATAAAACAATCGATCTCTTATATATGTTACAAGGTAGAGAATTAAAAAATTTGTAATGGTAGAAAAGCCGCCATTATACATAACCAAAACTAAATATAGTGACAAACAAAATTATCACTATAAATACTCATAACTGAATATAGTGATAGATAAAATAGACACTATAGATACTCACAAGCTAATATAGTGATGGATCTCTTTATCACTATAAGTATCTATAGTGATGGTCATATATTGTTTGTTACTATAACAATATTTTATAGTGACAAATGTATCGTTACTATAGGCCTAAAATTAGTAACGAATTTTGAAATCCGTCAATATATGTAAACATTTGTAGTGACAGTTATATGTTGTTTGTTGCTACACTTAGACTTTATAGTGACAAATGTAACAATCAGTATAGGCCTAATGTTAGTGGCGGAATTTGAAATCCGGGCCATAGTGACATTACTTGTAGTGATGGGTGATATTTCATCATTTGTTCGTCACTACAGATCTTATAGTGATGGATTTCTAGTTTATAGTGACAGATTTCTAGTTGATCCGTCACTATAACCCTTTTTGTTGTAACCAAACCATTGGATGAGTGCAATTAATTTGGGCTCTAAATGTTGAACCAAAAGTCACTTCTTTTCTTCGCGTTGTTGTATTGAGGCCAACTTGTACAAGAGAAAGGTGATTTCAGGACCCTCCATCCCCAATTTTTGGAAAAGAAGAAGAAACCATGCATCCACCATGCATTAATCTATTGTGACCATGCTAAAAGTGCATGGTTTGGTTTTAGATTTGATTCCTCCAGAAATATTAATTTCATTTCTTGGTTTAAGGATAGGGTTGAAGGGGGGGGGGAACTTCTTTCATGGGAAGCATATTGTCTAGCTCTTCTAACCTATTTGTCTTTCTAGAAGCAATAAGGTTTTTAGTGATGTTGATCATAACCTGTCTCTTTTGATCCACATTTTTCAGAGGTTTTGGAGAAGTTTTATTTGCAAAAATTGCATGAGATTTGCCTAATCGGGGGATCAGGCTGCCAATGCTTAGGTTCGGTTTGAAAAGAGTACAAATACAAATGCGTATAGTATAAATACATGTAAAATAATACAAAATACAAAGTGAGTCCATTACAAATGGACTAGGTCCAATCCAATCCAATGAATAATTTGAACTATTTTGGACCGGTCCAATTCAATGTTAGGACCATTCAATTTGTTCAAATTCATTTTAATTTAGTATGGTTTCAACCCAAACCTGGTCCATTGACACATATATTCTTATCTTATATCTATGGACCGGATATTGGCTTAATCCAACCAAATCCAATATAAATTTATTATGGACGAACCAGGTCCAGTCCAATCTAATAAATATTTTGGACTGGATTGATCCAATTCACTGTCTTTTTGGTCCGTTCAATCCGTCCAAATTGAATGTGAACTGAACAGGGTCCAGTCCAAAACCAGTCCATTGACACCCTTATTTATACTCCTTCCAAACTGAGCCTTAGCAAATTGCTGGGGAAATGAATGATCACTTTGTCTTCCTTATGCAAACTAGGGGTGTAAGCGAGTTGGGCTACTTGAATATGTTTCACTAAATATTTGAAGTTGACCTGAGTCAAATAGTTAGTTGAGTCAAGTTCAAGCTTAATTTGCAATACATGGCTCAAGTGGCTCACAATCCTAATCAAGATTATAATAAAATATTAATTTTAATAAATTTTTATTTATAATATTAATTTATTTATAATCAGATTGAGTTAAGCCAAAATCGAGTAGCCCAATACTTGAATTGACACTCCTAGTGAAAGCCAAAATGAATAACAAGGATTGAGTGACGGAGACATAAAATCAAACACAAAACAAACAATAATAGGGGTATCAATGTTTACATGAAAAACTGCTTAATTTCATCTATATGATAAACATCAATAGAAAACCCTTGGTTAACAATGAATACCATCATGTAAATGGATAGCAAATGAAAATTTTTCCCTTGAAAGTGGAGACACGAGAGAAAAGGAAGAGAAGTTGTAGAAGAATCTAACTTTGCTCTTCCACACTCTTGAATGTCTTCTTCATCTTCCCAAAACCTTTATCATGAAACTCATTCTTTTTCCATTTTCTAAAACCTAATTAGAATGCAAGAGAGGGTTGAGAATAGGGGTGTCAATTGGACTGGATTTGGACCAACCTGATTCAGTCCAATGTAAGTTCATTACAAATGGACTAGGTCCAATCCAATCTAATGAATAATTTGGATCATTTTGGATTGGTCCAGTTCAATGTTCGGACCATCCAATTTGTTCAAATTCATTTTAATTTAGATTGGTTTCAACCCAAACCCGGTCCATTGACACCGGTATTCTTATCTTATATCAATGGACCAGATATTGGCTTAACCCAATCAAATCAAATATAAATTTATTATGGGTGGACCAGATCTAGTCCAATCTAATAAATATTTTGGACTGGATTAGTCCAATCCACTATGTCTTTATGGTCTGTATCCGTCCAAATTGATTTTGGACTGGACGGGTTCGTTTGGTTGCAAAAGAACATATTTGCTTCTCTTTCAAGCAAATGCAAAAAAAATAAAGGATAAATTGTTTAAACCACTCTTAACATTTCTAACAAATACTTAAACCTTCCTTTTCCTTGACGTTTGGAGTAAGGTATACTTTATTGACCCCTAAATGATTTTGCATCCAAAAATTATATATAGAAATAAAAAAAGAAGATAATGGTAGAAATAAATTAAAAAATAATTGAAAACAACTAAAGTTAAATTAGAAAATAGAAGAAAGTGAAAAAGATACTCATTATTTTTCTTATTCCTTCTCATTTCTTCACTTTTTTATTTTTCATTATTATATGTTGATTGTTATTAGTATAATTTCTTTAACATTTTTTTGCTTATTAGTATTTTCCTCTTGTCCTTGCAATTTTCTATTATTCTTATGGTTATTTTATATTATTATTTGTCTTCTTTTTTATTTCACTTTATTTTTAGTTATTTTTAAGGATAAATTCCAAAGACCCCTTTGTACTATGGGGTCATTGACAAATACCCCTTGACTTTCATTTGTGACAAAGACCCCTTGAACTTTCACTTTGCTACAAATACCTCCTTTTTTTAGAATTCTTTCAGTTAACTTGGAAAAAGATTATTATTCAACTATTTAAATCCTCAAGCTACCATTTTTTTTTTATTTATTTGAACGATTTATGATTCAATTAGTTTCTAAATATAACATTGAAGTCCTCTCAGTTGCTCCAATAGATCCTTGTAGATTTTTAGCTAGATTTAATATTCAAATGAAATTGTAGAGGTTTCTTTCTAATGGGTAAAAATTTATGGTTTCGTTCATTTTTTTTCTTGATTTATTAGAAAAAAGAGCAGATAATTTTATATTTTAAGATGAAGAGAGGTATTCGTGTTAGTGAAATGAATCAAAAAAAAAAAAACTTTTTCCTATGCCAGTGAAATGATTCTTGTTTTTATTAGATGGTTTCATATGGAGAAAATGGACGTATTTTTGGTCAATTAATGTTTAAGAGAAAAGGGTGAAGAAAAAAAAATAAGGAAAAGTTCAGATAGGCATTTTGATAATCTAATGCATTCCATCATTTCACATTTGACTTGATGCCCAAGGGGGTATTTAGTTTAAGTGCGTTCTTAGTCCAAATGAAAGTTGGGGATATTTATCACTGACCCCATAGCACAAGGGGAATATTTGTAATTTACCCTATTTTTAATAATTTTCCGTTTTCTCTTATAATTTAATCCTATTATCTATTTTATTTTCATTTCTATTATGTTTTAATGCAACACTATCCATTGACAAATTGAGGATTTAATAGCATGACACCATCAATTTCTGTTACGTTAACATCACATTTAAAGGGGAACGTCAAGCTAGGTTTTGGGGGAGGTAAAGATGCGGGGAGTTTTTAAGTAATTTATCCAAAAGTTCGCCTCTTTTCTTATGTGGGCCCCACTTTATGAGGACAACAATCCAATAGAAATCACGCACGTGATTAACGTGGAGAGGGGGAGGGGAGTTTGTTGTCTAAGCTATCTGCGTTTTTTTATTGTAAGGCTCTCAGCCTCCCATTGCTCATCTTAGGTTCATAAATCTCATTCAACTCTTTTTTTCCTTGTTCTTATCTGTTTTTGTTTGTGTTTTCTTTCTGTCGTTGTTTGGTTTTTTGGTTTGGACTTGTGGTATTGATAAACTCGAACTATATAGGGTAAATTACAAAGACTTTCCTTAGTATGGGGTTTGTGACAAAGACCCTCTCCGTTGATCTTCCGTCCAAAAAGACCGTTACAATATATTTTTTAATTCTCATATTATCCTTATAATATTACCAAGATTACGGTATTGAGAAAGATTATTTTATAGAGTTAATAAATATCACCTAATGTAATGAAATGGAAGTAATTAATTAATTAATTTATTTAATTGAATGTAAGCTTTTAAATAATTATTATTGATTAATGCTAGTAAAACTATTAAAAGTTTAAACTGTAAAAGTAGAACAAAAGTAAACTAAAACCAAAACCTAATATAAAATTATTGTTTTTGTAAATAAAAGAAACACTTAAAAAATAAAAATGGAATTTTCCCATAAACATCATTATAGAAGAAATCGTATCATGTTCCGGGTCATACTTGAGTAAGATATCCAAGTACAACCAATTTGAACAAAATCTTAATGGAAAAATAAAAATTATTTAAAATAACCTCTAAAATAAAATGCGACAAGTCAACATGATTTCTGTTGAGGAGCATATGGAAGATTGTTATCTGTAACCTGTATATTAGAGTTTTTTCATATGTGACCTATATAATCAATAGCCAACTCTGGCTTTGGAACTTTGGGACTCTAGTTGCAAACTTAAAAACACCAAGGCATTCAAACCCAGAGGAAACAATAGTAAATTGGCAACCGAGCTTCTCAAGGAGCTTTCGTGTCACAGCCATATTGAAGTCATCATAATCAGCTAATATAACTTGAAGGCCTCTGAATTCTGAAGGTAGGTGCTCTGATGATCCACCTGGTTCAAAGATGCCGCCTCCTATAGATGGTTGGAGTTGAAACTTGAGGATAAGTCTCATGCTTAGTGCAAAATCCTTATTGTTTGGAACTACCCAAATGTTCCCTTTCATCATCTGTATATTGGTTTCAAAATCAAGATARTAAATTCTGAAATATAAGATGCAAAATTAATCACCAAGGCATACAAGTTGTTCAATGATGTATATATCCATCAGTTATATATACTTCATTAGAGTTATCAATAGAAGCATGAACCAAGCCCAAGCACATAACCAAATATGAGCCACATTAGAGTTATCAATGCAAGCAAATACAACCCATAAGAATGAAGATAATTTGGCAATACATATAAAAAATAATAATAATTTGGCAAACCTTGTTGGCTAATTGCCATCAGTAGACATGGCTATTCGTTTGAATATTAAGATAAAAAGATTTTATGGCTTGGCATATCCTGTTCAAGGTCGTAAACACCTCTAATGACTTTCTGAGAAAATTTGTTAGAATATATAGTTGTCTTCTTAATAATTTTGAAAATAAAATGTTCATTTTTTTATCAATGAAAATAAAATGTTTAATTGCAATGCCTTGAAGCCTCCGAATATGAACAATCTAGAATCCCAATATAGAGATGAATTATCATTGTGAGAGAAGAACATTAGTTCTATGTTTTCTACATGTTTTAAGGACAGTTTAGTACTAATTTCTTTTATCTGGGGTAATGCTACAACTTCCTCTACATATTTGCAGATTATCTAAGACAATCCTTTTAATCATAGTGATAAAAGTAACTCATAATATAGACAAAAGATTCAGGTTTTACCTCCACAAGTTTTTTGCACATGCTGAAGCTAAGATCTTCCACAATTCTCTCAATGTTGTGTCTCCTCCAGTGAGTTGATAGCAATCACATTGACAGTCCCATTTCTTGATTCTTCGTAATAGAAATAATATAGAATAAAGAAGAAATATGTTATATATAAAGAGGTATTCTTTTAATAAAATCAATACAAAACTTTTATTGCCTCCTCTAACAAAATTTTTACCAGGCACCCATAAGCATACATAATATAAAGATGGTTAATCCAAACCTTCTTATTTAAGGAACAAAATGGAAATTTCTTAGCTTATTTTCTGAAGGATCAATTCGATTAAATTACCAGATAAATAGACTGGCCACAATACTAATATATTGTACACACGCTTTCATGTACTGATCCAATTATAAGTTCAAGTGTGTGTGAAAGGCAAGAAAGGAACAAATCATAATGATTTTGCGTTTTGTAATTACAGATGAGGTTATGCTTACCAACAAGAAAAAAGAAAGAAAAAGACTATATGATGATAGAACTRCTGCAAAAATTTTTGGATAATTTCATTAATGCACTTTTTTGGGTAAAACATAACCAAGAACCAAGATGTCAAATGACAGCTGAGGCAGAGACATATTCCCAAAACATGAAGATCGCTGACCTATTGATAGCTTCCTAAAGAGGTAACAGTAGGGTCAGCTGAAACTATAGCTCGCTCATATAGCTTAATAGTTCTACGGAGCTCCTTCAGATGTCCATAGTTCAGTAGCCTTATCAGACCTACCACATTTCAATGAAGCAATTAGTTGAATAGTAGTCTGGTAGGATAAGTTGAGGTGGTTGTGGTGGGTCTCAATCTTTTTGCGTGTAGTTTGGTTTGAAAATATTTTGTTGGGACAGATGGAACTTGCAGTAGCAATGTTTTTGAATCATCGTTGACTGTCCGGGTCGGACCGTTCGGCCCGGAAACCGTCCAAGCAACCACTCCATTTCACACCCAACTCGTTCTTGGGTCAAAAACCATTGACTTCGTCAGAAAATCGCTAACTCAGCGGTCAAACCGTCTACTTGTTTGACCTGGCCAGCAGTTTGCAATATAAAGATGCAGAGAGAACTCAGAGATGACAATTTTCCCCATTTCCCCTATCCCCGTGGGGATCCGCCCCAAATGGGGCGGGGATGGGGATGGGGAAATTTTCATCCCCGTTAGCGGGGACAGGGAGAGCACTCCCTGCCCCACGGGGACCCCGATCCCCGCCCCGTGGGATCCCCACTAATATATATGTTATATATGTATGCATACGTTATATATGTATATATGTACACATACATCTATATATTAATATCTTTAAAAATATGGTTGAATATATTTGAATCTTTTCTAATAGGATTGCAAATTTTAATTATTTTATTTTTATTATTTTAAATAAAATAAAAAATAAAAACAAAATGGTTAATATTATAAAAAAATCATGGGGAATGGGGATCCCCGCGGGGATGGGGATGGGGATAACCTTGTCCCCGTTAGTGGGGATGGGGACGGGGACAGGGATGGGGAGAGGCTTCCCATCCCCACCCCGCCCTGTTTCCATTCCTAGATCCGAGATCCAGTCTGAGATACGAACTCAGATCTGCGATCTGCGATCTGAGATTCGATAACTCAGATATGAGATCTAAGATCCGAGAACTCAGATCTCAGATCTGAGATCCAAGAACTCAGATATCAGATCTGCATCTGTTGCTGCCGCCTTGCTATCGCCGTCGCCACTATCGTTGCCGGTGAGCGTCGAATCCTCTTCCTCCTCTTCCTTCTTCCCTCCTCTCTTTCCTTCTTTATTTTTTTCTTTCTCAGCCGAACCTGGCTTTTCTTAGCTGACATCTCTTCTTTCTTACATGAGGTTTGCATATTAGGGCAAATCTCATATAAACATTTCCTCTAATATATAAACCGTCCGAACTGTTCGACTCGAACGGTTGAACCGCTAACCCAGAAATCGGTAGCTAGAACGGTTCCATTTCCGGATCGGTTTTTAAAACCTTGTGCAGTAGAGAAAGGTTGTGGGTTAATTAACTAATTTGGACACATCCTTCACACCTTGGGAGGATGCCAATATGACATTTTTTTTTAAATTTTCACATTAAAGACCTTTGTGGGTTAATTAACTTAAAGTCAAACCTGATTGTATGATCTTACGTTTATTGTATAATTACTTATATACCGGAGGTGAATAAAAATAATTTTGTGATTTATTTAATCTTTAGAATAACATATATTCATAGTATGATTATAGTCAACCATCTATACAGTCTACAACAGGATTTCAATTTCAATAAACCCTAGAACAATCTCACAAGGAACTAATTAATTGTACAAAAGAGTTGTCAAAACAAAATTAAGTAGAAAAAAGAAAAGGGACAAAATGTGTACCTCTATCTAAGAAAACTAAAAATCAAGATAGTTGTTAAACAAAATAAATAAAAAGAAGAATGAAGAACCCAAATCACAAGAAATCTATATAAAACAACTTAAGTCAAGGAAGAAGGTAAAATCAAGAGGTGTCCATGGCCACCAACCAAACTCTAAGAGTATTATTTACTCAAAAAAAGAAACACTTAGCTATTCTATAAATTCTAAACTATAAAACCTGATACAAATCACATTCTCTTGCCGTTATCAATGGAAAATAAACCTTAGAAAAATGAAGACGAACCAAATCTGAAACAAAAAACCTAAATAAGTGAGAATAAAAAAAGTAAGAAGTTGAGAGAGAATAGTTGACCAACTCAACTGGTATTTTTCCTTGGACTTAGTGCCACCCCTCTCCTGATCGTCATGATGAATCGGTGGAGAAGAAACCCTTACAATAATAACTAGAAAGCACCTGGAACTGGAACGGGTTCTGCAACCAACAAAGGCAGAATACAATCAATTACTGGATCTGGATAGGGAATTTTGACTTTCATCGCACCCTAATATCTACCTTCATCATTAAAATTACTAACAACAACACCAGCAATAATTAAGATCCTAATCCAAACTGAAATCAATCGGCTCCAGTTCATACAAACCCTCTCCCAACACAAATCCTTATGCAACCGAAACACTGAATCAAAGGATGTAGGGCATAAACTGATCCTGAGTTTAATTATGAATTACATTAGGCAGGACTATTTGCCTCTTTTGTGCGGAAAGATTACATAAAGAATAAACTTTGATAGTTGGGGTGAGGAAGTAGTAAATTAATAGGCTTAAAGGGTAAGCCTACTGCTTATTGCAGGTCAGAAAGTTTAAAAGAAGGAATGGTCAAGTAATGTTTGCGTTTTCTCCATTATGAAAGACAGAGTCATTTTAACCCTACAAACAAATCGAACACCAAAATTCTGAGCCTCAAGGCAAACCCTGCAAATGATGAAGTGAAATGCAAAAGCCAGGTCAATGGGAAAAAAATTAGAAGAGGCAGATTTATGTAATGTCCATGACCATTCCAGATAATAGTAGAAGTTATATAAATATCAGTTAAACTTGAGTGCCAGAACAAATAATGCATGGGAGCCAACAATTGAAACATAAGAAAACAATGGTGGCAATGGAGAACAAAACATAATTCACAAATCACAATAGAACTAAGCACAAC